AGCTAAAAAGGACATGTACAGCAGCATTTTAATACATTATATTTGTTCTATTAGTAGCAGACACACTTACATAACTACTTTGCCAAAACGAGACAAATTAATGTTCATACATTTATCAGAACAATCAATGAATGACACGAGTAAGGAACAAAGACATGACTTGATACTGAATATACAGTGTACATTGAAATGTATGACATGCAAAGTGTCTTTGCAATGTTTCAGTGAATGTCTGCATCATGTGTACCATGTAACAACAGTGCCATCAGTAAATTACTGTTTCATGAGAAGTAACATTTAACTTGGTTCTTTTATTTTCATTATACTACTGATTTATTTCACATGAACTCATTTCATACTCTACAGTGACATGCTTCCTATATACAGTAGGAACAAATATTCACCATTACCATATTAGATCGATCGCATGTACTTGTATGCAAATGACCAACAAATATTAACATATACAATGGAAAAGAATCTGTGGGAAAGCTCACTCACTGGCTTGTAGGTAAACAATACTGTTGGCCACAAGTAACAAAATCAACAATTTTGGCTTACTAGTGCTAATACCATCAACTATCGAGAAATTATCCGTTAAACTTGCGAGGTAGAGGCTGTTCATGACTACATGTACATGTGATGGGGGTAGCACAACCAGTGGATGCGATAACATATTGTGCACGCTCACATGCATAATACTTTACAACGCTCCGCTGTTATAGAATGTACTTACATCATAGTTTTTATTGACTGAAGAGACGCACCAGTTATCATTGGGGATGCCCATTCTGCTGTAGTCAGTTTCCATGTCGAATAAATTCCATCCTGAACTTTTGCTGATTTGTAAATTAGGAGAATTATAATGGAAAGCGTAAAGGTCCTCCAAAACAACTATAAGTGGAGAAGAAGGAAAAAATGAGAAAAATATTAGAATTTACCATAAGTGTCAACTTTTGATACCTCTCATAAAAAAATCTTATTTCAAAAAAAAAAAAAAATCAAAATTGCTGTCAAAACTAGATCTAAGGCTGGCACAATTCAGAAATTTAGTGAAAATTATATAAAAAAAAAATACATACATATGCAACAAAATGTTAATTCACAAAAAGAATGACTGTTAAGGTAGTTGCATATGTTTAAAACATAATGCAATTCCCTTGGCTGTTACATAATTATTTTAAAATTATTTCATTCAGTTCTTCACAGATAAAAAAACAGATAAAAAAATATGATCATAATAAATTATTCTAACACAAAAAATGGATCAAACAAGGTGATTTTGCACCAATTTACCATTGATACCTATGAGAAATATGCCTCATCACATCTCAAGATTTTGTTTGGTTGTACATGTATTTGGTACTTAGGGTTGTCACAAATTATTATTAAATACTGACATACTGAAATATTACTTTAACATATCCCTATGGAAAATAATTTTTTCAGACAAATGTTGTTCTCCATTTAATGACCATATAAGGAATAATTAGCTAGCAGACTAAATAATCGTTTATCATCCTCCTTTCACTCATTCTCTAGTGTCAGGTTTTGTGCTATTTTGTGCTACAGCTTTCAATCGTGAATAAAACAGGAACTAAATACAAATCATAACCAGCACACTATGGATACAACAAAATTATTGTCAATTTCTGTTACAATACATATTGAGAGAGATATAGAAATATCAGTGTTGACATTTCCTTTGTTTCCTGTGTTGGAACATCCATGAACTGAGCATTGAACATTTTTTATATACAAGTACAAATGTACCAGTAGTTTGTTACTACTGCATTAACGACAAGGTATAATTACACTACCAGCACATGAAAACAAAGCATAATTACTATAAAATGCTGTTAAACACAATGGAAGTTGAAGAATAACTAAATTTTGAAATATCATGAACTCCACGTCTATTGTATAAAATGTTTGCAGCACGTACGTGTACATGTATTATACTTTACTTTACCTAGATATTGAGCTAATTATCTCTTCTGCGTGCAGGTAGGAAAGAAATCGTCTCATTATAAGCAAACTACTCTAAACCACGAAGTATTCTTTCAAATTTTTTAGTTCAAATGAGAACAGTGCAGAGTACTTCTGGAATGTTCTAGTGTCCTTGACAGGTAAAGTGCAGCGAGTTTTCCCAATCTCATATATACATATACATTTTCATACATGTACTCGCTCTTTTAAAGTACATTTGTACTAATTCATCACGCTACTCTGTTTTGATCATAAATAATACAACTGAATTCTATCATGGTTTTAAACCAAATAGAATGAAAGTACATGTACATGAATATATTCGATTGATTGACCGGTAATACCCACTCTGCTTGGTGATTGAGAAAACACTATTTGAATAAAATCTACATTATGAATAATAAAACAACCGATTTTTTGATAGATTTTATTAGCTAACTGGCACACTTGTCATCTACACTCCTCAAAGCAGCTAGACACACAAAATGAGATTCAGTTTCAGTTTTGTCCATGTACAGACAGCCGGACGGTTGACAGACACCAGATACAGCACTATCCCAAAGCTACATTAAATGTATTATTGAATATTATACACCGGCTATTTTTGTTGATAGTAAAATCTGCTATATATAAATCCACATGAAGATGTAAAACAACAGAACTGTTCACATAGCAAATTCTTAAAACTGAGTGAATAAATTAAAATCTGATGTACATGTATCATATGGCGTGTATTTTATAATATCATGATATTTTATTTACTTAGTACTACTTTTTATCATTTCAATTTGTAATTTAGTGTTCATTATTATCACTTACATCCTACGCAACAGCGATATCGGTCTCACTCCATTTCGTGGGGGCAGTCATTTTGTTGTTATTTAAACATTCGCGAAAAATGATCATTTATGAGTACGCGTAAGCAGATTGCTTTCATTTCACCGCACACGTAAAGAATTCTGCCACTCGTTGTGAAATTTATCAAACACAATAGATATTTACCATTTCGCCACGAGTGACTAAAATCTTGTGTAAAGTTGCGCGCACATGGAAGATATTTGCTTAAGCAAACAGCATTGAATGAATTTTGCCCGAGCTGATAGCTCTCATGTGCGCCAGACTTAACCATCCCCTTGTGGTTAAAACTTTTAAAAAAACTGCCAGCAAAACAAAAATTTAATAAAAGTGTACTGTATGAGAAAATAAATAATTAAATTCATATTTAAAAACAAAAATACAAACAAGAATATTAAATAAAAAAGAAGCCAAAACTGGAATCTTATTGTAATATTGCCCTTTGAATATAAAATATAAAAATTGAGTGAGTTGCTGTGAAAGTGAATGGTGTTACAGTATTTTGAAAATGCTAATATTTTGTATAATGGTGGGTGGTCAATTGATGTAATGACTATTCCCTGTATAGGTACATGTAGTTTTGAAAGGCAGTCATCTTCATCAAATTATACTGAAAATCAGGCACTGTTCATAATTTTGTCATGAAAACACAATTACCAATCTTGCTCGATACACACGAAAAGAGGTCATTTACGACTGCATATGGTTTGTGAAAATTGAGCAACAAATCAGCCGTGCAATTACGACAGCAGGTATGGTGCGACTAGAACAGAGATCCATTGAAAACAACTGTTATGGATCCAAGCCTTGTTCATTAAGTCTTGATCTGAAAGACTATAAGACAACTTGATGATGTACAGAGATAATTGTATCCTGTGCTATAAATATACATGTATAGACCCATTTAAAAGGGAATTTTGATGAAGAAAGCAGGCGCCAAATGCTGCAATCACACAAACTATGATAATCTCGCATTGCATGTCACCAAGATACAGAATAATTATTTTTCTGTGTAAATGTAAGACACAAGGAATAACTATCATGAATTTAGAAAGTAGCGATATACTAATTCTAAAACACCTTCATAAATCCGCCAACAACGACAAAGACTACAACCCTGTGATATCATACCATTTTACTAAGTGAACTTTGTATTCATACAAATCACTTGTAAATACAACATAGTGTCAGAGTGATATGCTTAAGACTGAGCAGTGAGTCGAATGACGTATGCAAATAAAATTAAATAAGATAATGATACGATGAGTTTCATTCTACTCATCTGTAAAGAAGACTTGAACCTAGAAATATACGCCGTCCGCAAACACATTGAAGTGTTTCATCACCAAATAACTGTCTGTACTGAGATAATAATTACACTCTCGTTAAATGAATGGAATCACATAGTGAAAGTCATAGGGTGTGAACACTGAACTGCTATCAGTGATGATCAGTCTAGCAATGAATAATTTAAGTCAGGACAGATAAACGCATTATACTCATTGCTATTGGCAATCTGTGAATACAAAGCTTTGTGTGAACTGTAGTAAATGCATTCATTGTAACAAGAAATTCTCTATACCGGTAATTGACTAAATATGTATAACAAAATTTATATTTTCAGGAAGCCGGAGGTGCAAGAGAAAACAACATATTTTGTCTTATGATTTTCGCACAGGATTAAGTTAATGAAACAACCATTATAATTCAATAGTTCTTATACATTTTGAATGTACTGGTAAGATTATATTATAGTGTGTGTGTATAAACATTGTATGTTATATTTATAATACATGTATATAGAAGACACAGAGCAAAATGTGCCACTGATATGCCAAGAAATAACAGCATATCTCTTTAGTATATGTATATACCGGACTTGAACAAAATCCCAAGCACAAATGCCTACAAATCCACTGAATGTAAAAATCCACTAAAATGGCCACTAATCAGCCATTTTGAACCCAATCTGAAAAACAAAAGAACTATTAACACCTGCGTAGATAACAGATATGCTGGACCTATGCAGAAACATCCATGCAAAAAACAGACGAGATGAACAGTGCAGTAACACCTATACAGGTACTGCACAGTAATGCGAGCAGATAAGTTTGTTATACTAAAGCCAGACAGGATTCTTTTAAATTTCAGGAAACTATAGATATGAATCTATTAATGTTCAATACACTAGAGCCAGACAGGATTCTTTTAAATTCCAGGAAACTATAGATATGGATTTATTAATGTTTAATACACTAGAGCCAGACGAGTTTCTTTGAAACTTCAGGAAACTATAGATATGAATCTATTAAAGTTTAATAGACTGCTGGACATGTATAATATGATCTTGCCATATCAGGTTTGTATAGAGAAGAATGAGATATCAACTGACAGCATTTACCAGTCTCCACTGTAGGCAATAGCTTGTCTCACTATACAATATGTGAGGTTTCATTTGATTCGTTTATCCTCCTCACAATGATGTATTCCTTTGAATATTAATAATTTGTCTGCCAAAATGTTATGTATTTCTCGGTTAATTTTAAAAGGAAAATTGGAAACTGATGCCAGCTTATTTTGTGTAGGGTTATAAACGTTGAGTTTAAGACTCAAAGCGTTGCTTGAAGGGTTTAATTTAATTCAATGACCTGCACTTTCTGCACCACCATCACAGGTGCATTTATTTAATTTAATGAAGCAAATTTTAGTAGCTTGTACCAAATACATGTGTACAACCATCCTCAATAGTGAATTTCTACAATGTGGCACACTTCAATGTCAAACAAATCTGATACCTACACATGTTGGTGCCAAAGGTTTCTCAGTTCAGCAAAATCAGTAAATATACAAGTACAGGTTTTATAATATTTTGGTAACTCAGTTTCCATGGAGACATATACCAGATACAGTGGTCTATAAAGACTGTTTGTTGTATAGGCTCATTTACTGTACCATATAATGTTTTGACCTACTGAATCACTCAGTCTAAGCACGTACAGGTGTAAAGAGGATACTGTTTTACCTCGTTCCCTCCACACACAGAAACCACCTACACATACTCAGAAGAAACATTACATGCAATACAATAACAAATGTTTAAAGAAATCTGATGATTGAAAGATGTTAACATTGTAAATGATGTATGACAAAAAAATTGTACCAGGCTTCGCTAACCCTTTCCAGAAGCTAATGGTTAATTCCATTTAGATTTCCCTACAATAAATTGTGCCACTTTTTGGCCACCAAGAGTAATTTCACAAATTATTTTACAAGACTTGTCATTTAAAAGCCGTTCATTACCCACAGAAATGCAAATTAATTAAACACGAGGAAAACATAATATGACAAAAAAATTGTACCAGGCTTCGCTAACCCTTTTTCAGTAGCTAATGGTTAATTCCATTTAGATTTCGCTACAATAAAATGTGCCACTTTGGCCACCAAGAGTAATTTTACAAATTATTTTGCGAGACTTGTCATCATTTAAACGCAAGTCATTACCTACAGAAATGCAAATTAAACACGAGGAAAACATAATATGACAAAAAAGTAGTACCAGGCTTCGCAGTACAGTGATAAATGATAAATTCCATTAGATTTTGCTACAATATATTGAGGAAAACATAATGCTTGATATAAAGTATGTTTTACAGTAGAACATTTTGATTTCCAATTTTCTGACAAATTCATGATTTTTCCTTTCATTCATTTGCGAAGTGGCTACTCCAATTAGAAATTGGCTATGAAAAACAATGTTGTATTAGGCAATGTGGCTGAAGCTACTTTAGTGGCAGTAAAGACTGTACATGTATACAGAAGTACAAAGAGCATTTGCTTTGCTACTTAGTTTGGGTAGCAATGCAAATGAAAAAGAACCACATCAAAAACACACATAAGAAGTAAAAAACAACCTGGCTGTTTTTCTTGAAAAGGAAGTAAAAAATAATAGTAAATGAAGAGCTTGGACAATAAGTAATATGATTACCGGTACATGTGGTTCTGAACAGATGTGATCTCAATGTATGGAAACTGATAAATTTTCATAGAGTTACTGTACACAGAATTTCAATTGATCAATTCTGTGTTGTCCAAATAATGACTCAAATGACGGAAACAACACAAGAATAAATGTAAATGTATACGGATACGATACAAATACAGCCTAGGTTGGTTATCAGCTGACTTTGTCTTTGTTCTCTGTATTATTTACCCATTTTACCAATATGGGTACTCAGCACAATTTAAATATTATGTATGTGTCAGTTTTGAAGGCAAGCTAACCTAAATCAAAGCTAGCTAAATTTTAACTCATGCTTGCACTGTACTGGATATAACATAACACACAGTTTTTTTATTTTTCTCACCAAACTTTCGATGCTAAATCTTCCTATAATTATTTTTTAATTTCATTTTCAATCACAATAGGGGTTGAAAAATAAGCATAGAAAAAATAGTTTCATACGCATGTTTATTTCAAGCTGGAGTGGAATGTGGAACACTATAAAAGTCATACCTGGCTTGGATAATTTACATAATGAGATGAAAATATCCTGGCAATCTCGCTCTCGTGGGATTATAAATGTCGCTGCTTGGAAGTTCTTACAACGGATTTGTAGCGGTGAGCCGGCAGTCGTTAAAGGTAGCTTTTCAACCGATGCAACATGCATGTGCATAATCTGTGGATTCAAGAAAGAGGAAACCATTAATGGATGATTCTTAATGAATATAATTGATGAAAGTACGGCTGATGGATTTATGCATATACATGTACATATAAGAACAAGCTCTTGGAGTTGAAACCCAATGACTGGTAAAAAAAACATTGTCCATCTGGAGATTGTCACTATCATCAAGTAGTTATCCCCAGTGAATCTAAATCATTTTTGATGAACATAGGGAGCGCGTTTCTTTGTTTTGTTGTTTTTTTGAAGTGTTTCTTTGTTTCGCTGTATCTTAGTTTCATGAAACCCCTTGGGATTCAACAGTTCTTGGTTTATTGTAGTTAGTGGGGAACACGTAGTCATGTACATATGTGACTCAACATGGCCAACTCTGCTTTGATGAGACTGTTGCAATTAAACTCCATGATGCATGTTTTGTACTAGCCTCAGTTAAAAAAACATGATGCATATATTGTAAAGAAAAGGTTTCAACAGATAATTCAGAACGTTTCGTCAGCTGATATGTACATGTATTTATGTTTTTTATGATATTACGCTGAATATGCTGGTATATCTAATATACTAGGATTGCAGGCATGCATAAAAAAATCTCATCAAGAATGAGACGCATCATGAAATGCATGCACACACAATCAATGCAAATGATAATAAAATATTTTTAAAATGTTTAAATCTCTGATTTACTAGTATTTCACTTTACTTGTTTTGCCGATTGAAAGGCAGAAATTTGACTTAATACCAGTAGCAACTACAACCACCAAAGTATTTTAAATAGGGCCCTTGCTAATTGAATAATGCTGAACTGACTCATTAATATTAATAAGAACAATTAAACAATGATGTCATATTACCATTTATATCTATAAAATGTTTATAATGACCACACATTTCTGAATTCACTGTATAAATCATCCCAAATTTGGCAAATATTATTAAGTAAAATTCTAGATACCAGTGAGATACTAGAGAATGTAATTATCTACTTGGCGTTTTGACCTTTACAGATGTCTCACGGGACCATCAAAATCCCTGTTTATTCTTTTACAGCTGGCTAATGTCTATATTTTACAACTAGCACTTAGCACCATAATGGCAATGTTCCACTAATAACTGTGAAAGACAAATAATATAACCACAAAATTTTTATTTTTTTGTTTATCAAATAAATTATTTGACTTTTGTTTTTACTTATCAGTTATGCTAATAAAGTGAAGCCTATTTTAGCAGTTATTGGGTATTATTATATAATGTATATGTACAAAGAGAGCTTTAGATTTACAGCTACATGTACATGTACATGTAGTTAGTTCTTTTTATTTATATATTCATATTCATTGAAAATTAGAAATTACATACAGCATATATATGTATGATTATACAGCCAAAATTGACGGCAAATAATTCTTCTAGGTGACAAAGCTTCCTAATTTAACAGTATCGGTATTTAGGTTTTGCTAAACAAAAAACCCTTAATTAAATTACTCACATTGATCGTACCATTTTTGAAAGCCGATAGACTGTTAGGTATGATTAAACAGGTGGTTACAGGTGTGACGGTAAGACTCTCTATCTAAACATTGATAGATGGCATACAGTAGCATAATAGATGAGGATGAGGGTCTATGGCAAGATAATGTAATATCACCTCCAGACCCTTCTATGAATCCAATATGACACTGGGAAATTCAATATTGTTGTTATACATGTATCACCTCCATCCGAATTGAACAAATTTAGCTAAATTTTGGGGGGCTTTTTATGAAATGAATTCATTTCCAAATAGAGGTTTACATTATTGTGTAATAATGTAAAGCTGTGATGTCATAAAAACCTTTAATTCTATAGTGGTGATTTATAATATGCGCTAGTGAGTAGCCATCTTGAGTGTGGTAGCAATGTTTGGCCTCAGAATAAGCAAAATTTGGTCAAAATTTAAATTAAAGAACGGCTACCAGATATATATTATTACCCTGCTGAGTTTAATTAAAAGCAAAACTGGCTACTACTAATTTGCTTCCTTTAGTATTGCATAGAGAGAATTATTATTCTTTTTTAAATTTAATTCTGGTTTTGTACTTTTTAGAGACAGACAAATTTACTGAATTCCATTCATAGACAACTACAACTAATACCAACATACAATTATGGGCTGATCCAACGGCCTTAAGGTAATTGCAAAACTACCTCATTACAGAAACCATTTCTTTAACAGAATTGTCCAACTGTAGAACGATTTGTGAATTTCCATGTCGACACTGAATTCAGCTTCTCCATTCATAAGGAAGCCATACTTGAACAACCCTCTATGCTCTTTTGTTCCCAATAATTGCAGAAATGATTGATTTTAATGAATTAAAATGGCTGCCGTTCAACTAGATAATTAATAGACATGCATATATTTATCAAGATATATGATATGTGTGTAAAGTTAGAATGTGTTTTACCGAGGCAGATTCGAGACAAATCAATCTACTATGTTCGAACTGGGACTAAAATATCTACAGAATAACAGTTAAACGAATCCTGTTAACATAACAGTGTGTTTAGGCTTAGTTACAAAAGCAGAAACAAAATGCTACACGTAGCTCAGTGATTATCAAGAAGCGTTTAAGATTGATATCATTTTTTTTTTAATATTATTGACAGCTCTTCTTAGTAGATAGATCACTGAATTACTGATTCTAGTGTTACCATGGGACTATGGTATAACAGTAGTGAAACATCTTCACGATTTAATTAAAACATTACTATTTGCTTCATCCATAACTTTTATCGTGTTTGCTCCCATATACATGTGCTGTGAGCATATGTGTACAATTTATTGGGAACAAATTCTCACAACTTTATTACCTGCATTGTATATAGCAACTTGGAATCCAGGTGACCATGGTAACAACCATTGCTGGGGGAAAGTAATTCAATGTTCTAGTAATGAAAAAAATATTTGGCCCATAGTTTGAGAAAGGGGACCACGGTAACGACTGTAGTTAAGGTGAGTAATTGATGATGTTGACAGGAGCAGTACATGTAGGTATATCCTAGGTCAGAGGTCATCCCCATTACATGTGTATGACAGATAATATAAACTTGGTGTTTATTGCTTTGTATCGTTACAACACAAGAACTTGACTGACTACAAGATGTACCTATACTGTGTG